AGGGTTGGGGGGGTAAGAGATCAACCAAAGGACTTGCATGCATGCATATAAGCATAACCAATGGCCACAAGACACTGGGGGGTAGGGGAAGCTGGGGGAAGGTCGGGGAGGTGGGGGACTAATTGTTGTAATATTTTAAGCAATAAAAAAAAATCAGACAAAAAAACAAAAAAAGACTGTGTACACAATCCACACAGGAGTGCACCTAGAGTACCCAGCTCAGGTAATGAGGGAGGCTGAGCCACTGGGCCCTACAGGACACCTATTACACAACACCACTTTACCAATTCCAGGAGGCATAACAACTCTACCTAACACACAGAAACAAACACAGGAAGCTGGTAAAATGTGGAAACAAAGAAATATGTTACAAATGAAAGAAATGGAAGCAAGCACAACTACTGGATACAGACTTCAAAACAATGGTTATAAGGTCATTCAAGGATCTTAAAGAGAGCATCAAGGGACTTAATGAGAACTTCAAGGGTCTTAGTGAGACTTTTAAGGATCTTAGTGAGAATGTCAAAGACATGAAAAAGAACCAGTCAGAAATTAAGCATACTATGCTAGCTGAAATAATGAATAATTTACAGGGATTCAACACAGACATCTGCCTTGCCTGGGGGGAAGGCAGTCCACACACCCTATTGGAAAACACCTTGCCCTGAGGCCACTTAAGAGATTAAAAGTAACAATTAGCCTCCAGGCAGAAGCAACCACCCTACCCAGTTGAAAAAAACTCTCACCACACCAGAAGATGATTGCCTGGGAGCAATTCAATTCAGAATCCTATTAGTCTGTAGACAGAGGCTGTTTCTGGAGGCTTTGAGTCTTTGCCTGATCCAATTTGTCAGAAATAGCCTTTAACACTGTCCTGCACTAGAGATTGAGAGGTATAGAGGATCTACCTAAATCATAGTCACAAACCCAAATAGACAACCAAAATGAGGAAACAAAGAAACAACCTCCAAATGAAAGAACTAGCGAATTCTCCAGAAAAATAGAGAAATGAGCAAAGATAAGAAATTTATCTAAAACAGAGTTCAGAGTAATGATGTTAAAAATGCTCAACAACATGAAAAAAGATATAGTAACTATGAAAAAAGAACAGTCTGAGATAAAGAATGACGCAACACAAATAAAGAACACATTGGAAGGAATACACAGCAGATTAGGGGAAGCTAAGGATCGAATCAGTGAATATGAAGATCGAGTTGAAAATATCACTCAATTAGAGAAGCAAAAAGAAAAAACAATTAAAAAAAAGAAGGACAACTTAAGGGAGCTGTGGGACAATGTGAAACATAACAATATTAGAATAGTATGTGTGCCAAAAGTGGCAGGAAGGGAGAAAGGAATAGAGAAGGTGTATGAAAAAATAATGGCAGAAAACTTCCCTAACCTGGTAAAGGTAAAAGTCACACAAGTTCAAGAGGCACAGAGAACCCCAAACAAGAAGAACCCAAATAGACCCACGCCCAGACACATCATAATTAAAATGCCAAAAATTAAAGACAAAGAGAGAATCTTAAAGGCAGCAAGAGAAAAGAAGACTGTTAACAACAAAGTAGTTCCCATAAGGCTAACACCTGATTTCTCATCAGAAACTCTACAGACCAGAAGAGAATGGCATGAAGTACTCAAGATAATGTAAAGCAAGGATCTGAGACAAAGATTACTATATCCAGCAAGGCTATCATTCAAAATAGATGGTCAAATAAAGAGCTTCCCAGACAAAAAAGGCCAAAGGAGTTCATTACCACCACGCCAGCATTACAAGAAATGCTAAAGAGGGTTCTGTAAGGCACTGCTGAAAAGAAGAAACAGAGAGAAACCTCGCCCTATGG